ACCAGGTCGCATCCATCCTAGACTGAGCGCTTCAATCCTCGGTCAGAATCCGACGGTTACAACCACAAACAAAACGGCACGAACCCTCCAATATGACCTGGCCTGGATTCGAACCAGGGAACTCCCGCAACATAACGATGGTGAGTTCTTAGTCCGGGCGGTCGCGATCCAATCGCTACCAGGTTGTATCCTCGTCCGTGCGAAGGTGGGTGAGGTCAAGATACGACGCGCGAAAGGAAATCGAAGTAAAAGAAAAAAAGGTGGCCCAAATTGCACATCTGTCTAGAAGATGTCAATCCATACGTTGGGCGGGCGCGATCCAATTGTCACCAGGTCGTGTCCTACAGAGCGACTCAGGTGAGCTCGAGACATCCTCGTGCGAAGGCAAGTTGAAAAATTCGGATCCTTAACACAAGGGTCCAGCCTGGATGATTCAACTAGACTGGAAGTTTTCTTGAGTCTCCGAGTACTATACTAGGCATGGGTTGGACGTCGTTCCCCCCAATTCAACTTCGACCTCGTTGTCTACTCAGTCGAAAGTGGCAGTCGGATCATTACGAGGAAAACAAAAAACCCTAAATCATCCAGCTCTACGACCCACGCTCGAATCGAACGAGGTACTCCTGCCAGCAGGACGAAGATAAGATCAAATGCATGCAGGCGCGTCCCATCCGCCTCTGGGTCTGGATCTGGTTGCCCTTTAGTCAAGTTTGACCTCGACTTCGTGGCTTATGAAACTTCAAGTTGAATGCAGCAGGATAGGAGAAAAAAAACTGCCAAACCAACTTACGGCCCACGCTCGAATCGAACGAGCTACTCCCGCAATATTATTCAAACATACACGTTATCGAATGCAGGCACGTCCCACACGTCTCTGGGCCTTGTTTTCCTTAAACTGCGCATTCAACCTCGCCATAACTTGTCCACGAAGCACGAATACAGCGGGATACGAGAAAAAAAATACAGCCTACCATTCCGTTCCTATGGCCCACGCTCGATTCGAACGAGCCGCTCCTGCTACCACCGCCGGGTAGCTATTACCGAGTGCAGGCGCGTTCCACCGCTGTGCCTTATTTTTTCTCCAGTCCCACCTCGATATCTTCGAAACAGAAACAGAACTTGGGAGCGGGAGAAAAAGAAAGAAACACACTGCCCAGTCCATGACCCAAGCCCGAGTCGAACGAGCAGTTCTAGCTGTGCCCCGTCAAGAAACTAGTACTGAGAGCGGGTGCGTCCCACACGCATCTGGGCCTCGTTCTTCCTGAAGGTTATTCAGCGTGGGTGAGTCCGGACTGTGTGGTTGAATCGGGATTCTTACTACCCTCAGAGTCAATCCAAAACACCCCTCAAAAATCTCGCTCACATCCCGTCAACTGCGCCAAAAGAAAAAAGGGGTATCAATTCCAAGAAACCCCAACACGGGGAGCTACATACGTAGAATACAAACGCGAGCAAAGCTGAATAATGAACAGATAAACCAAAAAGCGCGCACACTCCCGCCACTCGTTGGTATTGCGGACCACCACTGGCCATCCCGCGCCAGGTACGGGCGCAACCACAGGCGCATGGTCGTGGGCGTGGGGTGCGTGGTGCTTGACGGAGTCGAGCTCATAACGGGGAGGGTGAGCGCTGCGGCGAGCCTGGAATGCGGTGGCGATGGCGGCTTCGACGGCGGGGCGGTGCGCGCTCGTGTAGCAGGCGGAGACGGAGAGGGCGCGTAGCGCGGGGAGGGTGGTGGCGGTTTCAAAGAGGAGGTCCTGGAAGGGCGGGCGGTCAATAAATAAGGCTACTTGATCTCGACTTGATTTGAAGCAAACACATACCAGGGCATCGGTCTCCCCCTCCTCGCGCAACACCGTATCGTGCGCCATAACGCCGACGCTTAGACGCGCGAGGCGGCGCAGCTTCGCGATGGCGGCGACGCTATGCGTCCCGAAAGTCCAGCTATTCTCGTACCCGAGAGGGCACGTCAGCTGTACGAGCGAATCGGCGTGCTGGGGGAGCACGCTCTGGTAAAACACGTCCGCACACGCGCTGGATTCGTCACGCGAGTGCCCCCCGCCCATGCCCTCCAACGAAAGCTTCTCGACGCCCGCGTAGCCGCGCAAGTAGTCGAGCAAATCCGCGCTCACGCTCGTCGTCGATATCTCGCGCAGGCGGACGCCCTTGGCGTGCAGGGTCGCCCACAGCTGCGCGTGCGCTGTGCCGCAGTCGTGCAGGCCCAGGAGCGTGAGGGCGGTCAGCCCGCGGTTGCGCGCGATGGCGCGCGAGTCGGACTCTGTGAGGTGGAGGGCGAGGTGGCAGTGCGCGAGCGTTATTTTGAGGCTGTGGAGCTGGGAGAGGCGGGGGACGGAAAAGTCGCGGGTTCCCTCCAGGTGGAGTTCCAGAGAGGTGAGGTGGGGGAGGGAGCGGAGGTATTTTGCGATGGCGTCGCGCTGCCAGCTTGGATCGTCGTCGGTTATGACCCACCTACAAAGGCAAACGGGTGAGCAACGTGCTGTGCAATCGTATGAGGGGAGGGTTGAGTACCTAACGTCTCGGACCTTCATCAAGGATCCGAGCGCGGAGGTGACGAGCGCCTCCAGTGCACCGTCTGAGATAGGGTCTTCGTCCTCCGAGCCAACGGGGGAGCATGGAGCGATTTCCAAGGTCTTTGCATGCATCGACCAACCGCTCTCGCCAGTCGCGAGGTGCTCCAGCCCCCAGATGGAGGTCTTGCGCCGTAGATGATCGGTGTTCAAGAAAACGGAGGAGAAGAACAGAGGAGCGACCGCGTCGTCGGTGTAGCGGCATGCCGCCCGGAGGTCCTTTTGCGCCGTACCGGGGAGCTACACTCAGATTCTAAGCGAATGGACGGGGGATGGTGTAAATCAGGACAGACCTCTTTCCCAATCTCCTGCAAGAGTTCGACACACAGACTTTGGATCATGGTAGTTCAAGGGAAGACGAGGAGCCTGTAGAGGGTAAGGATACAAGGCGACGAGAGATGATCCCATACTTATAGTCGGCGCACATCCCAAAGTAGAACAACAATAACGCGTTGTTATTGTTCTCTAAACGGTTGCTCGTTATTACGTCGTAGAGAAGATGAATGAGTTACGAGCCAAGTCCAGCGGATTCAATTCTGTTCGAAACCGCAATGGCCAGCGGTTCAGCCAAGATTTGGCGGAGATGGTTGTGGTTCGAGGAAGAGAGCGGTTGTGTTTGATTCAAACGTCGCTGACAAACACGACCACCCTGAAATTTCTCTCTCTCCTCCAAATGGGTCGCTTAAGACGTTCAAGAGCTCACCACGCCCGGCGGGATGTCCACAGAGCTGCGCGTACTCGGGTCCGTCTTCTACCGCCATTTCCGACCCCATTTCCCTCATATTCCGTCCCCTCCAGGTCAGAGGCAGAGACTTAGATCAGATCCAAATGCTCGACCTTGATCCCAAGGTATGTCCTTCGGAGGGTCTTGCAGGACTGTATCAGCTTACTGCTACCCCCAGCGACGAGCAGAACTGGAGGCCCAACCCCTTGACTTCGAGAGACCCGGATTGGCGCAGCACTATTGTGTAGAGTGTGCAAAGTGCGTCGCTGTCCCTCTACGCCTAAAGCATCTGCTAATGAGACGCCTACGACCAGATACTACGAGACCGACGCCGCACTGAACTCGCACTGGCGGAGTAAGGTCCACAAACGGCGGTGCAAGCAGCTGAAAGAGCCCGCATATACGATCGAGGAGTCAGAGCGGGCTGCGGGGCTGGGGCGGGCGGAGCGGAAGCCGGCGGTATCGACGGCGATGGTGGTGGAGGCCGAGGTGGCAGTAGCAGTCGCTTGATCCCTGCGGCGAGTCCGTTGTTGTTTTCTCGTTCTTAATTTATTTTTCTTTCTCTCCCACTCTTGGCCGAGCTTTGAGGACGGTGGATCGCGCCGATTCAGCACGTCTTTCACTCACCGCTGGATCCTTCCTCGCCACGTTCGCCTCTTCGCCGAACCGTCCAATTCTGACCCACCATTCCAGCACGTCGGAGTCATATTCATATGATCTGGTAGCGATGGAATAGCCCCCGCACGAATCACGTCCAGCACGAACGTTGTCTTCGGACTTCCTGGTTCGAGTCCAGACCAAAATCACCAGATCATCCTTGAGATCATCACACTTTTTCCATGTCGCTGAGCTGACGAACTTTTTCGACCGGGCATAAATCCTGACGGCCTTGACGGCCTGAAACTAGCACTCATGGCATCGAGCTGTGCGTACTTCCACCTCCTGAGTAACTTAAAAAAGAAAACCCAGTTCCTCGCAGTGGGGAGCCTCCGAGTCCTCCTCCTGGTTCGACTCCAGGCTGGGTTCTTGCTGGATTCGGACCTTTTTTGGGTTCGCCTTCCTTTCGCGTGTCGAAAATATCTTGACCTCACCCCACCAACCCTCGCACAGACGAGGAGACGACCTGGTAGCGATTGGATCGCGCCCGCCCGAGATGACAATCCACCATCGGGGTGTTGTGGGAGCTACTTACCTGGTTCGAATCCAGGCCAGGTCATATTGGGAGGGTTCGTGCGTTTTGTTCGTGGTTCTAACCGTCGAATTCCGTATCAGTATCCAGGTGCTCGAAGTAACTTAGGATGGGTGCGACCTGGTGGCTGGCGAATTACATCGCCTACAGAAATCTTGACTCTCGAGCTCATCCTTCAGCTTGAAGTGCGGCCGGTGAGGAGTTAACTGGTTCAAACCCAGGCTGGGTCATTGGGGATGGAGGAATTTTTTTGCCTCCTTGGAAAACAGAATTCTGACCACTCCGCGTGTGTGAGCCCTCACATCTTGCTTCGAGGTGCGTCCAACCCACGCTTGCTATACTTCGAGCTCAGTTCTAACTCAAAGGAAGAACACTCGTGAGTTCCTGGTTCGACTCCAGGTTGGGTTGTACTGTAGCAGACCGAAAATACTTTTTCGACTTCCGAATTCGTGTCGGGAATTGTCTTGACTCCACCCACCCTCGCGCAGACAAAGGAGACGACCTGGTGGCGATTGGATCGCGCCCGCCCGGAATGAAAAAGTCACCCGTCAGGTGCTGCGGGAGTTACCTGGTTCGAATCCAGGCCAGGTCATATTGGGAGGGTTCGTGTGTTTTGTTCGTGGTTGTAACCGTCGGATTCTGACCGAGAATTGAAGCGCTCGACCTAGGATGGATGCGACCTGGTAGCGATTGGATCGCACCCGCACAAATTAGATACGTCCACAACCCATCTTTCGCGGGGTTACCTGGTTCAAATCCAGGCTGGGTCGTTAGAAGGAAGGAGAGCTTTGTTCCCTCCTTACAAAACAAAACCCCCAGTGCTCAAATTGTGTGCGAAGCGTTAAGGTGCGTCGTCCAACCCACGCTTGCTATACTTCAAGCTCAGCTTTCCTCAGGAAAGGAGCCAGGGCCGAATCGTGAGCTCCTGGTTCGACTCCAGGTTGGGTTGTATTGAAGCAGACCAAATAAACTTTTTCGACTTCCTTTCGCGCGTCAGGGACGTCTTGACCCCACCCACTCTCGCTCAGGACGAGGGTGAGGACGCGACCTGGCGGCTACGCCCAAATATCAGTTCCATCGAATCCAGGGGACGTTGGTTATGTTCAGGCCAACGTTTTAAAGTTCGTACTAGAACTAGTAGTTCTGGCAGGTCAGATTCTGATAGACTCAAGCGCTCGAATCATAGATGCGACCTGCTGTCAAGTGGACCGCCCCAAACGGATGTCGAGTGACTGCCTAATTCGTACCCAGGCCAGGTTATAGTCGCGATGACAGAAGAGTTTTCCTTTTCTGAGTCCCAACCGTTGAATTCTGGCCCAAGACTCAATATTTTGTGCCAAGCTCACATGATGGTAGTGCAAGTTGGTTTGTCTCACAGTGTGCAGGCGAGTCCCAATCTTTTCCGCAGGATTCCCTCTACCTTGACATCCTCGGCGAAGGCGCCGTCAAGATCTCCACGTCGGTTCGGAATGTTCAATGAGTAGTAACAAACTCGATTCTCCATTGATGCCGTGGGGGCAGCGACACGTCCAGAAGACGCGTAGCTGTGCATAAAAGACGCGTCCCTGTACGTTCGGTGAGCTGGGTCGGGGACACAGGATGCGACTGCCCGAAACGGAAGCTCACAGAATGGGGTAATCAAAGCGGTAAATAATTTGTTGACCACTTGCCTCTCTCTCTGCCACCATCGTCACCTAGATTCAAATCTGGGCTGGAGCACTGGCCATTGGCCTAAGGGCTTCGAACCCAGATGCCCTCGCTCGTGACCGTGTATCTTTGGTGCGACGACGCAGCGACGTAATAACGGGCGACCATTTGGAAAACAATAAAAATGCCTTATTGTTCTGCTTTCGGGTGTGTCCCGAGCCTATAAGTATGGGTTCGGCTTGTCGCGTCGCCTTGTACTCCTCCTCTTTGCACCCTGCCCCCGTTGGAATCCGATGATTCAAAGCTTGTGCGTCGAACTTGTGCAGGAGATCGCGAAAGAGGTGCGCCGCGATTTAGACCATCTACCGTCCACTCACTTACAGACTGAGTACAGCTCCCCCGTGCAACGCAAAAGGACCTTCGGGCGGCATGCCGGTACATTGAAGCTGCAGTCGCACCCCTCTTCTTCTCCTTCGTTGTCCTGAACACCGAAGATCTACAACACGAGAGCGCTATCTGGGGGCTGCAGCACCTCGCGACTGGGGAGAGCGGGTGGTCCATGCATGCAAAGACCTTGAAAATTGTCCCATGTTCCCCTGTGGACTGGGACGACGAAGTCCCTACTACAGACGGCGAAGTCCCTATCTCAGACGGCGCGCTGGAGGCGCTCTTCACTGCCGCGCTCGGGTCCTTGACGAATGTCCGACACGTCAGGTAAACCCTCTTCCCTTGCGATGAGCACGTCGCTCACCCGTCTGCTTATCTAGGTGGGTCATAACAGTCGATGATCCAAGCTGGCAGCGCGACGTCGTCGCAGAATACCTGCGCTTACTCCCTCTCCTCATTTCGTTGGAGATCTGTTCCTGGACCCGCGACTTCTCGGTCCCACGCTTCTCAGGGCTTCGCCGCCTGAAAATCATGACCCACGCCCTCAACCTGACGGAGTCCGATTTCCGCGCCATCACACACAACCGCGGCCTCACCTCCCTCACCCTATCCCTTGGATCTACCGGGACCGAAGACATACCCGCACACTTCTGGCACATCTTGCGCGAAAACGGTGTCCACTTGCGCGAAATATCTACGACGTTTGTCAGCACCGATCTCCGCGACTACCTGTGCTCCTACTCGGGCGTCGAGAAACTGTCGCTCGACTCTATGGGCTGGGAGAGCATCTCCGCCGACTACAACATCTGCGCGAAAACCTTCTACGAGACCGTCTTCCCTCACCACGCTGAGTCGCTCGTGAAGCTGACCTGCCCGATCGGCGACGAGGACAGCTGGACCTTCGGCACCCACAACGTCGCCGCTATCTCGCAACTGAGTCGCCTCGTTTACCTGCGCATCGGCGTTGCCGCGCGCGGTACGGTGTGGCGTGTCGATGAGGAAGTAAACGTGTTGGTAGGTGTTAACATCAATTCAGACTCTTCTATACTGGCAGAGCATGCGTCATTGACCGCCCGCCCGTGCAGGACCTGCTCTTCGACACCGCTTCTGCCGCCCTCCCCGATCTGCGCACCCTTTTGGTCTCCCCGTGCTACAGGTCCGGGTGCCGCGACGAAATCGAGGCCGAGATCGCACAGGCCTTCCAGGCTCGCTACGGTCACCCCTATACAGGGGAGTTCGGTCAACCTCCTCCGCCCATCGTAAAAGAAGGTGTAATCAAACGACTCCGGCTTAGGTGGGCGACTTGGATGGAAGACGACGGACTCCAGAAGATGGCGTGGTTTCTCCTTCCCCTGGACCTCGGGTTAATTTTCCTCTTCATTTACTCATATGTGTATCAGAATTACGCACATGTCAGTGTAGCCGGTTGGTTTTCTTGAAATTGATACCGCAGTTTCCTTGTGCAACGATTCGTGAGCAAGCTTGTCGGTGTTCGAGCTTTGCTATACCATCCCTCGATGAGGGTGGATCGATCCCGCACAAATTGCGTCACGCGGGAGCCACCTGGCTTGAATCCGGGAAGGTTATGGTGAACCGTGAAGGTGCCTTCGTACACGTATGTACATGGAGTTTTTGTTTTAGTTCAAACCGCCGGACTCTAACCCAGGACTCAAGATTCTACACCAGCTACAAGAGCCGTCCGATTGAGTCTGGGGTGGGTAGTTCATTTTTTCTACATCGAAACCCCCGAAGTTTTTCGGCTTGTTGCAATTTGTTTGGACCCCATTGTGATGCGACTGCCGACTGAGCCTTGTTCTGAGTCATGTCCGACTCTCGCAGACGCCCCAGGGACGACGACGACGGCGACGAGCCCGACGGCCGTCCTCAGCAGCGCCAAAGACTTGGGGATGAGACCCTCGTAGACGATGTGGTGCTTGACGAGCTCCCCTTCGAGTTCGTCCGGGATCCTCAGTTCTATCGCAGCGATGGAGATTGTGTCATCCGCGTAGAGGAAACCCTTTTCAAGGTACCTTACCTCGCCATTCGCTCCGTCTACCTTCCCCCAATTTTAACCTTTGAACGCGGCAGGTCCATCGATTCCACTTCAACGGCAGTCCCGCATTTGAAGGCTTGTTTTCGCTGCCAGCGAGCCAGGACGACAAGTTTAAATTCGAGGGGCGGGACGACCAGCACCCGATTCGATTCTACGGGGACACTGTGAGCCAGATCCGTTCATTCTTGGGCTACGCCTACGCGCAGTACGTAACAGTCCACTCGATACAAAATACGCCGCTCATCTCACGTCTCCGTAGCGCGCTGGACGTCCAGTACTCATCCATGCCGCTGACCGACATCTACAAGCTTATCGACACCGTCCAAATCGCGCACAAATACGCCCTGGAGCAGTCAGAGAAGTGGGCAATCAACGCGATCACGTACATCTGCGTGAAGAAGAAACTGCTGAAGACCTGTGCCGTCGACGTATACGTCGCGCTCCTCCGACTGGATCTGCTCTCCCCGATGCCTACCGTCAAATCCTACGTCCGAAAACACTGGGCCGACCGCCTGCGGGAGAGCGATCCCGCCCTGAGTCTCGCAGAAGCCTTGGACACTGCCGAAGAAGTTGGCTTCCGGCGCTTCCTCGGCGACCTCTACTACTTGCAGCTCTCGAAACTCGATGAGCCGGCCCACAACACTCCGGGCACACAGGTTGCCCCGCCCCTTCCGGCGGCCCTCAGCGACACGCACAAGCTCCGCCTCATGGTGGGCTACCGGTCGCTGTTGCTGTCGTGGAACCGCATCGCCGCTCATCCCATCGCCCTCGAGGGCACCTGTGCCCTCGGGCCCGCGTTGCACACCGGGGACTGTCTGATCTCCTGGCGCGACGACTGGCGCACCTTCGTGTCCCAGTTAAGTCCCCCCACGGGCGCCAACTTGCTGAAACACGTCCAGACGCTCCATACGTCTCTGGTGGAGCACTACAGCCCGGACCCGGACCAGGACGATGCATGTTCCCTCGTCATCCCTGCGCTCAACCGCCACTTTCCCGAACTTCTCAAGACGCTGCGGCTGTCGATCGCCGACCATTTCCTGGGTCCAGAGCCTGAGCCGGCGGTCGTTCCGGCTTGATGACTTGGTGTGTTTCTTGGGCTGTTACATGTCCGGTGTCGCTAATCTACACCTGACCAGTGTTTATATGTGTCTCACCCATGCTAATCCAGTGCGTTTCTTTACCCTGATCACGCCGTATTCACTGACCCCGATACCGCAGCATCTAACTATATGTACCCTGTTTGGCTAAATCTTATGCTATTTTCTCTTGGTTTTACTATCGGCGAGACAATTGTCTGCTCTATTCTGCGGCAAACACCACGGTCGTGTGGGGGAATGAGGAGGAGACTTCGGCTCTGGTCGCAACTGAGGTTTGATAGGATTTTACCGTTGCTGCGGCGCGTGGCGAGTTATGGTTTTATCCAACCTCGACCAACCCACAGATTCGTTGGCTGAGCCATGTTATAAATCACCTCGAGGGGGCGTCTACTTGAACACCCAACACGA